CTATGAAAATATTGAACGAATGAAATAATGTATATATTGTTTGCATGACCACAATACTCCAACTTTTCAAAATACAACTTGGGCAACATCACAACACTGTGTATCCATTTAATTTATATATTTTGAAACATTTTTATGCATTTAATTTATAATTTTCAAACATTTAGTATTTTGAACCATTTGTATGTATATTGGTTTGAATTTCGATTGAACAATGTTTGAGACGTGTATTGCACGTGCAAGCTTACTAGTACTATTAAATCTTAAGGAAAGAAAAAGGTCGCACCCAGCACGTCACTGTCAAGCACCCGTTCGCGGCGGAATCTAGATCCGCCGGAAGTACCATCCCATATTCCCATATGCATATGCCCTACACTGCAGGACGCCGGACATGTCAACTCCCACGTTCCTTCCATCTTCGAATCGAAGGCAAAGAACAGCGAAAGTGCTATTCTGTGCCCGAGCACAAGCACTCTCGATATCTTTCCCGTCGGTACTCCTCGAGATCACCAATCACATGCGTATAGGCCCAAGTATTGACATCGTATTTATGTTTTCCAACAGGGCCCATGGCCCACATATGACCAGCAGGCAGCATGCCGGCGTCAGCCACGTTACCAGCGGCTCGGATGTGGCTCAACGATATGGGCCATGAAAGGACAGATTCTGGACTAACAGGACGAGGAATTTATTGCCTCCCACCGCTGCATGACTTAGTCTAAAAAGAAACAATCTTCCCTTGCACGCCTCGTGTCCTCCCCTACCAGCTAAATCAATCTTCGCACAATATCAGCTAATCCTCTGCACCAGCACTGTCGCACCAAAGTCTAAATATGAAAGTATCTCAAACAAACCCACGTTCTTAAAAAAAGGGGAAAAGGAAGCCATGTTAAATATGAAAATGCAACCTTAGAAAACCACCTAAAATATTTTAGTTTTTGAGCAAGTAACGTTTCACTTTTAAGGCGATAAGCGACATTGATGGCACAAGCACACATGCAATACATGGGCAACGAAATAAATATACGAGTAATGTTTATTGACCAAAGGTTATTTGCTTTTCGTGCAATTTTTTTTTGTTAAAGTGGGAATATGCATACGTTACATAGGTCTCTTTGGATCACATCATTTTGAAACACATGAAAATAAGTAAAAACACAGGATTGTGATGTCAAGACATTTCCAATCGTATTGGGAAACAAAATCTCAGGAATTGAGATAAACAGCCTTTGGCTGCACCACAGGAAAGGTACAAGAATTCTAGAATTTGAGTTTAGGGTTTCCAAACTTCTAGTAGTGCCTAGCATATTCAAGTTCATCAAATTTCTTATGATGCACATATATAAGTGTGCCGTCGCTCACACAAATTACACTGATGGACCATCTGCATGTTAGAGGCGGGTTCTGAGATTGCAAAAGAGTTTGATGGCAGCTGCCAAACATACTAGTGCCAAGCTCCGAAGGTTTATTGAACATGTCATCTAACACATGGATCCAGTTCTTGTTTCCTGACTCCATGGATGAATATAATTTCAGGTTTAGATTTCTGAAACATCAGTAAACAAATCAGTAAATAGGTGGAAGAGCAAGAATACAACAAATTACAGAAAAACAATGGGTGGCCCTATAAATACCATCGCCTACTAGCCTAAAGAAGCTTCGCTTCATCCACAAACACATGAAGCCATGAACACATCCATACCCAGTGGCGGAGCTACATGCAATG